TTGGTTTTGAGACTTTAGTCTTTGCAACTTCAGGGATCTTATCTATGCACAATCAGCTTGTAACACTCCAAAGAGAAAGGAAAACTTGAAATCGCATCATATGACCCCTTTAAAAAAAATAAAAAATACAAGAAAACTTGAGAAAAAAAAAAGACTTCTAAAGTCTACATCTTGAAATAAATCCGAAAGCTTAGAAACACCTACAGGCTGCGTTGACGCCAGGAGGTGTCCTCTGTCGCGTCCGGTATCCCAGTCGTGTTCTGACGCTGCTGAAGTGTCGGTTTATATCTTTTTATACAGTCTATAGTTTATATTCGCTGCCGGTCGCGTGGTGTGAACTGGTGTGAACTGTGTGAACTGAGCCTCTGATGTCATGTGATTGTATACAAACAGACCAGCCCTGACTATGGGCTACACGGGGGCCTACACTGGGAAGGGGGCCCACTGGCTGCAGGGAAATTATATTTTTCGATTAATTATTTATGTATATGGGAGTTTGCAGTAGTGACAACAGCAGTCTATAAACAAACTCTCACACTCATTTTCAGCGACGCCCTGGTTGTAGTATATAGTGAATGATTCAGTTTAGCCCCCCCAGTTTGTGTTGGTATGTTCCACCGAAATAGAGGAGGCGGGTTTGAGATGCACCGCAGGACCTAGCGCCGTCGTTGCATCAGCTGTTGTACGTCGCGCACCGTCCGCGTGCAGGCAATTTTTTGAGACCGCGCGGACGGTGCGCAACGTACAACAGCTGATGACACAACTGTGCGATGATACAACAGCGCGAGCCCTCCTGATGACAAAAATTACGTAATGCGGAAGGTGCGCGGACGGCAGAAATATACTCTGGCCTTAAAGAGACGGCCGTCAGTTAGTGTGCTGAACCAACGTCATTCATTTCCCAAATATAAGCAATAGGTTAACCAGAACATTTTCTTCCAAACTTTTACTCTTATACAATAAGAATATATATTTACTAGATAGCCTAATCGTATTTTTTGTTAATGTTTTGGGTATTTTGTTTGAATTTCAGATAAAATAGAAAGTGCTTTGGTGATTACAAAGAGAATATTCAACTATAATGCTAATGTCTCGCTAGAAATGACATCAGAAGTGGAAAATGTAGTCAAAACTGATCATCAACAAAAGCTTCCAGCTGCTGCCCGCACAGCTCTTATGAAAATCAACCATGATTTTATTGTAGTAAAGGTGTAGTAACCATGGTTTTTGGTGTATTGATTACCATTTGTAACCACAGTTATACTACAAAAATATCATGGTTAAACTATGGTTAGTGTAGGAAAACCATGGATAATTTGTGGTTTAACTGTAGTAACTATGTTTTTTTGGTTTATTTGTGGTAAAACCATGGTTAATTTTCGTAAGTAGCTACACTATATGGACAAACGTATTGGGACACGCCCTTCTAATGAACAGGTTTGACTCTTTAGTAATTTCCATGAGTAGCTACAAATCTTAATGTTTAAGCATATAATGATATTCTAGGCCCTAGAATATCATTATATACTTAAACATTAAGATTTCTAGATTTCTAGAATCTAGGGAATTTTGTGATTCTAATGCACAATAAGAATTGAGAAGCACATTAATCTCTCTCTCTCTCTCTCTCTCTCTCTCTCTCTCTCTCTCAATTCAGTTCAATTCAATATGTGCTTTATTGGCATGACAACTGTTACAATGTATTGCCAAAGCATAGTGTGCGCGAGAGGATGGCGGACCAGAACAGGCAAATCAAACTCGCTGCAGCCAAGAAAAAGGTACGTTTATGTACTTTCACGTCTTCTTTTACACTCTTTGTGACAAATCACAACTAATGATCGTAACTGAATCGCGTCCGAGCGCGTGTGTTTCATCCGTCATGTTGACATTCCACGTCTACCGGCCTCTCCGCGGGCCCGCATCCGGCTGCCAACACTCCTGGACGGGCGCGGCTGTCAGGAAAGCCCGGGGACTGAGCTGCGGCAGGGCCTGAATACAAACTCATTAGAATTCGTCTCTCTATTCGCGTTCTTAACGACTTAAACCTGTCGGAAATGCGCTTTTATAAGTGTCTGTGAGTCAGTGTCAGTTTAACTTGGCATGCTAATGCTGTTAGCCTCTGTGTTTTGGCGTTAGTTACAGAATAAAAACAACAACAATGTGAATTAGTTTAAAATAAACCAAAACTAGACATTAATTGTATACAATTTTAGTACTCTTATTGACTTTAGGCTAATTTAACCAACTGATTAGTGTTAGCTTAACGTACTTGCTAACTGCTAGTTAAAATGACAGCTCTAATTGAAACAGCTGGTTCAGTGCCTAGTTTGTTAAGAGTAAAAGTGCTTAACTAATAGATTTAATCTGCCCTCATTATGCTCTTTAGATTGCTGTTTTGAGGTTTAATTGATCAAATTTGTGATTATTGGTGTTTTTTTTTTATGATGTATGTGTGTGCTGTCTAGGAATGCAGCCACTTGATGCCCAAAAGTGCTGTCTAGTTAGGGAGCTCATGTCTGCTGTAGGTTGTGAAGCACAGCTGCTGTCCTTTATGCGGTCTGTGGCATGGAAAGTCAACACGGCTTGAAAAAATCAACCCTGGAATTTAAGTTATGGCAAAGCAAGGCTCTGTCATATGAGATCTGATGTAGAGTCGTCCGTCCCATGAGAGCTGATCCACACCCAAACACACTACTGCGACCCTGACCCGCTAGAGACGTGTCCTCATATCGCAGGATTGGACGGGAGTTTACTCTCGAACAGAATGTGCAGTTTGTTGTCATATCTGTCACTGGTGCAGTGGAACTTGATTTAGTTATCTTGATTTAGTTTGTACACACTTTCACAATGCATTCCAACCAGTGTTTAAACTGTGCCAGAACAGGATCATTGACTTGAGATTGAGTCCTTTCTGCCTTTCTTCAGTTATTGTATTAAAGGACTAGTTCAGCCAAAAATGATTATTTGCAGACAGTTTACTCACCCGCAGGCCATCCCAGATGTAGATGAGTTTGTTTCTTCATCAGGTTTGTAGAAATGTAGCATTGCGTCACTGTCTCACTGCAAGTGAATGGGTGCCGTCAGAATGAGAGTCCAAACAGCTGATAAAAACATCACAATAATCCACAAGTAATCCACAGCACTCCAGTCCATCAGTTAACATCTGGAGAAGACAAAAGCTGAAACAAATCCAGCATTAAGACGTTTATAACTAAAATACGAATCCATAATAACACTTCCTCCAGTGATAAAGTGCATCTGCTGTTGTCTCTCACATCAAAATCCAGCCACATATTAGTTTAGAGCTGTTTAAACGCTGCTTGATCTGTGCAGATTTCTCTCCTGATTCACACCAGAACACTTTTTCACTGGAGGAAGCGTTATTATGGATTATGGATTCGTAGCGTTATTATTATTATTATAGATTTGTTTATTACAAAAACACCGCTTTTCATTTCACAAGATGTTAATTGATGGACTGGAGTCGTGTGGATTACTTTTCTTAATAATTTTTGCTCAGTGACTTTAATCAGCAGTGTCGTGTACTAAGACCGACGGAAAATGAAAAGTTGTGATTTTCTAGGCCGATATGGCTAGGAACTATACTCTCATTCCGGCGTAATAATCAAGGAGCTTTGCTGCCGTACCATGGATGCAGCAGGCGAGTGCTACCGCCAGACCCAGAGATCGGCTGAATGGATTCGAAAACGGTAAAACTCAACTGTTTAACTCTAGGGGAGCTGGAAAATTAGCCTATTTTCAAAAATAGTGGCATGTTCCTTTAAAGTTTCACATTTAATTCAATGTGATACTTAACATTTGTATTTTCTTTTTAATTCACTAGCAATTTGGAGTGAAAATGTGAGCCTGCAGCACAAAAGCAGTCTTAAGTCTCTCAATATTTAGATTTTTTGGCACCCTCAGATTCCAGATTTTCAAATATTGTCCTATCCTAACAAACCACACATCAATGGAAAGCTAATTTATGGATGATGTATAAATCTCAATTTTGAAAAATTGACACTTAAGACTGGTTTTGTGCTCCAGGGTCACAAATGGGTTCAAACTTAATCCTACTACACCATTTTTTTTCTCAGTGTATCTGCACACATACGTGACTGACTGTAGCTGTAATATGATATATTTAATATCAAACATTTCTGCTCTTGTGTCCTGCAGCTGAAGGAGTTTCAACAGAAGACAACCCCATCCACAGGAAGTGCTGGACCAAAGAAGAAGAGGAAGGTTAAAGCAGGCGATCAGCTGGACGCAGCTGCGGACAGACACTCGCCGGACAATGTGAGTCAGGTTCGTAATCAATCCACGTCAGATGCGATGAATGCTCACTGTCTGCTCTGATGGGATTTGGTTGTCTGCTGTGTTTTGACTGATCAGTTAATGACTCTTTCCCACTGCAGGAAGTAATCCTCGTTTCAGGAACTGTTTGAGGATTTAGTCAGTTTTTGCTCGTTGAGCTATTTTTCCTCTTCACCATTTTGAGGGCCCGTTTTTGTACAGCTATTGGTTTCTCATTTATAATAATTATTAATGTTTACACATAACAGCCAGTAATTCGACAGGTATTACAGAGAGTCTGATCCAGGGTTATTAACCCTAACTAAAAATAAAACTGTTCAAAACATTAAAACAAAATATATAAATATTCAATGAAATTCTTAAAATAAATTGACGTTAGTAAACGTTGCCTTGGCAACTAACTGAAAAATGCTTATTGAAATTAAAGCACTAAAACTGACTAAGTATATTTTTGTATAGGCAACATTTTGTTAATAATAAAGCTGAAATAAATAAAAATGTAAAAATTTCTAGCTTTGCTTTAGTTGAAGTTGAAACACTAAAATTATTAACTAACTGAAAAAAATTGCACTGTACAGATTCTGTGTACATTGTATAGTTTAATATATTTTTTATAAAAAAAATCTCTGCTCTATTCTTTTCTCCCTGCCATATTCAGTTTATTGTATTCACATCATATGTCTTAGAAAAGAATATAATATAATAAATATAATGAACTATATTCTATTTTTAATGTGTATGTGCTTAATTCATTGTTGGTTGAGTTTGTTGATGAACTAAAGAAAAAAATATTTCTCTACATTACTTCACATGTAATATGTTTGTGATGGATCTTGAACCTAGAAAATTAAACCTAAATATTAATATTTAAAAATAACAAAAACTCACAAAAATGATTAAAGCACAATACAAAATGACTAAAATTAAAATGAAAGCATAAAATATCAAATAAGCTAAAAGCTAATTCAAAATACTAATAAATTGTAATTCTAATTGTAATAGTAGTAATAGAAAGGTGTGTTTTCCAGCTGTGTGATTGATCTGAATCAGGCGCTACTAACCCTTCATCTTGTGTTTGCTTTATCACGTTATCACTACTGCTTCCTCCTCTCTCACGCCTTTTGCTTTACGGTCTGCCTCTCCTTCCTCTGTAGATTGAGAATATTCTCAAAGTTATGGTGTCTGATCTTAGTCTGACTAATGGAGTGTCTCGGCCTCCATTTGTCAACAACAGTCAGGTGAGCTGCTCGCTGTCCCTCCTCTTTCTCCCCCGTTTGCTCTTTGATTCGTCATCTGTGTTTCCTCGCATGCTGTGAGATCGTCATTGCAGGAAGAAGTCGGTGTTTGCATCATGTGTTGCAATTTTTAAAGTCGGCATGAAATCACTCATTCATGTTTCCGAGCTTATTGCGAACGATTCATCAGTGCTCTTTATTTTAACCCTCATGTGGTGTTCGGGTCCTTTTTGCTCTGAAAAATTTTTCTTTTTCCCGAAAATACTAGTTAATGTTATCGCATTGGACTGAAATTTTGTGACTTTGTTCACAAAGGGTATAACTACTTCTAAAAAAAATTTTGATCATTTTCATACTGTTCTGGGGGAGATTTTTCACCTTGTTACACCCATGATGTTACAGAGCAAAAAGGACCCGGCCTCAAAAAATGCTTATAAATCACTCATTATGCTATATTATCAAAAAAGATTGGATTCAATCTTTTTGTCAACTTCTTAGAAAAGAAGTTGACAAAAAGATTGAATCCAATCTTTGGTGATAATATAGCATAATGAGTGATTTATAAGCAATTTTTGAGGCCGGGTCCTTTTTGCTCTGTAACCTCGTTAGTGTGAAAGGGTTCTGAACACAACACAAGGGTTAAAGAAATACAGTAAATGTTTCACATGCTAAATGAATTCGACTCGCACTGAAAATAATTTTTAAAAACCATTTGCAGTCAGAAATTGCAAGTAAATGCAACATCTAATTACAAAGAAATGGCAAATAACACATTGGATTAAAAGACTAAAATAGTATTTTTCTTTTAAAACATACACACCAATAAAGCTTTATTTTGCAACTTCATAAAATCTATTTTTACAGTGCATGCTGTGAATGCTTTTTCATGTTGAATTTAATGCATCTTTAACATGCAAAATTAAGTTTCAGGGTCTGAATATATTGGGATTGATTATATATTGAATTGAATGCCTGGAAATGTTTTTTTCACCTTTATATGTATGTACTTGATAAATATGAGGATGTATAGATTGTTGTGCATCTTTACTCTGAATGTGGTGTGTGTGTGTGTGTGTGTTTTAACCCACGGAGAGTCTAATGTGTCTCTGTCGCTGTATTGCATCAGGATGATGTGGATGCGGTGGACCGGGTCTCGCAGGAGCTGGAGGAGACCAGCGCTGAACCCGTCTCTAACCCTGCTTCTGCTATTAACTCTGATAACCCTGGCCTGCAGGTCTGTCTGTCTCGGTGTCAGTCACCTTAGCTGGCTTTCAGAAGTCTAGGACTGTTTTGAAACACAGCTGTTGTGTGTGTTGTTTGCTCATGTTTTTAATCTGATCCATGTGTGTCTTTTAATTTGGTGCATTGCCTTGTCAGGTATGTTGTCACATAAGTCTGGTTTTGCATGTCAAGTTTGTGTTTTTCATTCAAATGTTTTTCCAGCAGAAGTACACAGGAGATGCAAACGGCGATGAACATCCTCTGGAAGATAACAGGTGAATTTACTCTTTATTTGAGAACAAGCTACTACAGAAATATCATGCCATGAACGTGACACAAGTTTCTCTCTCTTTGAAGAATGACACCGTTACAGCCAATGTTTAATTGTTTTATAGAGCGCAACAGTGACAGCTCAGGTTTTCTGATGCCTTGGTTCTGGAAATATTTTACTATTCATTTTTCGCAGATGCATTTAAAAAAAAAAACTTCCATAAAGAGTTTTGAATCAAACCAAAAATCTCTGTGATGAATAACACGCAGCCAACTTAGAATCAAGCAGTATTATTTTGGTATCACTGAGATACTATCATAGTTATTATTCATATTTTTAATTAGTTTTCATATTTTATTTTCTATTTTCATTTTAATTTGACTATTTTTTTTGTGTTGTCATTTTTTTGTTGGTTTGTTTTACAGAAATGTCTATATTGTTTTCATTCATTTTTATTTGTTTTAATTTTAGTTATTTTAGTGCTTCATGTCAAGCTAAATTAAAACGAGCAAAGTAGCCTTGGCAACTAGTTGAAATAAAAGCTTAAGTTTATTATATTTTGTTTTATTTCAGTTAATGTTTATTTTATTTTTGATTTTTTAAAAAGTTTTTTAGAATTGTTTTATTAATTTTTTTGCTAACTAGAATTACCCTGGATTCAAAGTGGAAAAGCATATAAAAAACTATATTTTTTATTTATTTATTTTGCAGAAAATGTGTCAAAGGCAATGAACTGCTCATTCGATAATGTGAACAAAACAAATGTTTAAAAAATGACCGTTCAGTATAAAAGTGTGTGTGTTATGTAGGCCTATGTTATTGACTTTAAGTAGTAAAATGTAATATACTTCAAGTTTAGTATATAAAAAATAGATCCAAACCAATGACAAAAACTCAGATTTACATTAAAGCTGTAGCTTGCTGCTTTATTCTGTCTGTTCATGCACACTAACTCTACGCAGATACCCTTGGTTCTGTATGTTTGTTATGCTTGTTTAGTTTAGAACTGTAGCACCTAATGGTCTGTTTTAAAACGCTGAACTCACGTGTTTGTGTTTGCAGGCCGCTGTCGTCCACCGAGAGCCTGAGACAGATTTCCCAGCAGCTCAATGGACTGCTGTCTGACGTGAGTCACGGCTTCTGCTTGCTTCAGTCTTTGGGTTTGGTTGGATTGTGATGCTATGATGTTATATTTTTCCACCCTGCTTGATTACATCAATACAAAAGTCATTTCAGAAGTGCATAGACTTCTTAAAATTTCAATAAAAGGTCTAGGTTGACATGCACTAATGAAACAAATGAGGCCAAATGCATTTTTGAAGAAATCTTGACTTTTAAGAACTAAACTCAACAGGCTCCTCCCAAATAAACCAACTTCTTTAGAACTTGCATGGCTTGAGTGAATTACAAACATAAAAGTATAAACACATTTGCAAGACTTGGAATAGAAGCAGTTTAATTTGTATGCAACACTTGTAAATAACCCAAATATCAACATTTAAACCGTTCCAGAATTAATTGATCAAATGATTCGGGGCAAAGCTTTGAATTCTGATTTTCTTCTTGGGTTTAATGCAGTCAACAACATACATCAATGGAGACAGCGGTCCGCCGACGGTCAGCGAGAAGGAACTGGAGGTATTTTGATATGTTTTACTATTAATTCACCTGAGCGTTTATTATTTTTTTTTAAAGTAGATGTGCAAAACTGTACAGTAAGGTAATTTATTTTAGTCTAGCAGTTTATAATTACCACTCTGAACGGTCAGTAATCTCGCTCAAGCAGGATAATCTTATTGAAGCACAAGTTCTTATGATGGAAATAGCTTGTAGTCTGTAGGGGTTTACAGCATTGGCTGATGCTGATTAGTCACTTGATATCATTTTCACAGTCATATCCTAGATTGATTCCCTCATGGTTTACAGACCAAATCAAGAACAATTTCAGCTATTTCTGCTAAATATAAAGTATTAAAAAAGACCTGAAACCGTTTTCCTCTTATCTGTGCTGTGTGCTTCTGTAATCTATGTTAATTGGTATAATTGGTTATGTATCTGTCAGTATGTGCGTTATCGCGGTGTGTCCTGTAGGACTAGTTCTGGCATTTGATCCCATGATCTCCTGCTACACACTGAACAAACATCCTGATTCAGCGTCACACACACGTCTGTAACAGGCTGCATGGCTCTGTTTATAAGTTAAAGTTTCACTGGCTTCGTCCGCATAGAAGCCTGAGTGTCTGTAGATAGCAGTCATGCGTTACTTTTAATGTAATGATTTTTTAATGTTCTTGAAAAAAGTATCTTCTGCTCACTAAGGTTGCATTTATTTGATCAAAAATTGTGAAATATTATTATAATTTAAAAAAGCTGTTTTCTATGTGAATATCCGTTAAACTGTAATTTATTCTCTTCTGCTCACTAAGGTTGCATTTATTTGATCAAAAATTGTGAAATATTATTATAATTTTAAAAAGCTGTTTTCTATGTGAATATCCGTTAAACTGTAATTTATTTCTGAGATCAAAGCTGTATTTTCAGCATCATTACTCCAGTCTTCAGTGTCACATGATCTTCAGAAATCATTCTAATATGCTGATTTACTGCTTGAGAAACATTTCTGATTATTATCAATGTTGAAGACAGTTGTGCTGCACAATATTTCTGTGGAAACCGTGATACATTTTATTTTTCAGGATTCACAGATGAATAGAAAGTTCAAAAGAACAGCATTTATTTGAAATAGAAATCTTTTGAAACATTATAAATGTCTTCACTGTCACTTTTGATCAATTTGATGTGTCCTTGCTAAATAAAGAAGTGTTATTTTATTTAAAAATAGAAATTTTGACCACACATTTTTGAAGAGTAGTTTACATAACTTGATCCCAATCTGAGCAGTTTTTTATTCGTGGTAGTCAATTATCATTATTACTAGTGCTCATATTTTTTATCTGTAGCATTTTTTAATCTTAATAACTAAACATAGAAATCCAAAAAAAGGAAACCGAAATCTTTTGTAACATTAAATGTCTTTACTGTCACTTTTGATCAATTTAATGCATCCTTGCTTAATTAAAATATTAAATAGTAATTTCATAATTTTCATCGCACACTTATGAGTGGTAGTGTATATAACTTTAAACATTTTCAGCAGTTTTTGTTACTATATTAATTTGTTACTTTATTACTGTAAATGACTAAATGCTCAAGATGATGTGATCAATAGCTTTGGTCTGTAACAAATCTACAATTTTGATTTAATAGGGTTTAATAGAGATAACCCATTTGTTTCTACTTTAGGAACACTCTTGAGTAAAATGTTAAATGTCACCCAGTTTGAATATGAACGAATGCCTGTTTGTATCCCACATCACTCGGTGTTTAGAGAGTCCAATTACACACATAACAGATTCTTTGTGTTACACCATATCACCGCCTGTTTGCCTTTCATTTGTCCTCTCTCTCTCTCTCTCTTTGTTTTTCTATGCATGCTGACACGTCAGACGCGCAACCAGGAGCTGGCAGTGGCTCTGGACTCCAGCGCGCTCACAAACACTCAGCTCTCGTCCAAACTCGAGACACTGGTAAGAGTGTGTGCATGATACGTGGCTGTGTGTCTGTAACGCCCCATAATGCAGTTCGCAAGCATTCAATAACAGAGTGCAGCACAATGGAGTTTTTGAAGATGCGACATTGATTGCTACTTTGCTACTTTTAACATGCAACATTGTTTCAATTTCTAGTTTTTAAATTGTTTGCCCATGTTCTTGTGCCTCAGACGGTCGTCTTGCATACTAAGTTTAGATTTTAACTTCTACATTTATGCATTTAGAAGATGTCCAAAGTGACTTGCAAAAGAGAAACGAAAGCAATTCTTTGATTAGAAATTCAAGATTGCATACTTTGTGAACTGATAGGATTATTAAACACACACATATAATTAACTTTTATTCAGACACAAATGCATGGCCTAGTAAACATTGCTTTTCTCATCTATTTGAGAGGTCATGCTGTATTGTGCATATACTTCACTTTAATGCCTTGAGTGCTTTGAGTTAATTAAATGGTTAATATTAATACATAATAACTGTTTATTATTTTCATTTCATTATTTTAGTAAGTTTTGGATTGGATTGCACATGTTAAGATTTGATGTTAGTACTTAATATTAATAATATTAATCAAACATATTTTTTCCCCTTCTGAAGGTTTTAAAGAGCATTTTTCAGATTTGCACAATGATTTTTAAAGTCAATAAGATGCATTTTGAATTCGTATTGTCTTTAACGAAGCTCAGGTCCCTGTTTAACATGCTTGTGGGTGTCGGTTTAATGATTTATTACTTAATAAACACACATGCGTTAATTGTTTGTTCGTTGTTTTCAGACGAAGCAGTCTCAGGAGCTTTCTGATCAACTGCAGAAGGTACAGTAAGCTGCCAGCAGTGTTATTAGATTGCTCATTTATGGTTTATTAATGAGCATCTTCTCTTATTGTGCATTATCTCTTCTCAACAGGAGCGGAAAGAGTTTGAGCAGAAGTTCACTAAGGAGCAAGGAGCGATGCGTGAACAGCTACAGGTGAACAGATTACGCAGGATTGAAGTCATGTCCTGTTCGCTAATAAATAAGTATGCTGGGAGCATCACCGACACAATATTTGGCCGTAATTATATCGAACAGGTCATACAAACTGACTGAACAAATTCACTCACTTCAAACGAATCTGAGTGCTCAGATCTACGGCACTGATTCATTCAGGAACTTGTTGATAATATAGTAAACAACAGATGTTTTATTGACAGCAGAAGTCATTTACTAGTTTTGGCTGTGATTAAGAGGAAATGTATGTGATGATAAAATTCCACCTTACAAATGTAACAGTAAATATGTTAACTGTTGAATGTAATTTAATTGACATTAGCTTAATGTCAGTGCTGTTATATAAACGGAAGGTTTTGTGCTTGTTTACTGATGCATGTCTTCCTCATTCAGGTTCACATTCAGACCATCGGCATCCTGGTGTCTGAGAAATCAGAGCTACAGACGGCCCTGTCTTACACACAGCAGGCAGCGCGACACAAGACAGGTGTGTGTGTGTGTGTGTGTGTGAGTGTGTGTGTGTGTGTGTG